GTGGACATGTTGAATCTTGAACTAGCCAAGAAATGCCAGCAGCAAGTCAATGACTTCAACTACAGGACTCACCTGCACCAGTGGACATGTCTGCCAGACTCTAATGACGTTGTTCAGGCCAGGCACGCATATGACCTACAGAGTGATGTATGTGATTTTCATGCGTGTATCACATTTCATTATACAACTTCCTCCATTATAACCCTCTATGCTTTCCAGGCCGTCTACAAAGCAGACCTGAAGTGGCTCCAGGGTCTGGGCTGGGTCCCCATTGGTTCGCTGGATGTGGAGAAAGTCAAGAAGGCTGGAGAGGTTTTGAGTGAAAGGCAGTATCGCCAGCACCCCAGCACAGTGAAATTCACCAGTCCCATTGATGCCATGAACCTTGTTCTGGCTAAGAACAACGCAGTGACGATGAACAAGGTAAATACTGATTTTCGCATAGATTTCTAGAACCATTTTTATTTGCCTCTTTTGCTTTAAATAAATTTTGTTTTTGTGTTCTGTGTTGCTAGCGCCTCTACACCGAGGCTTGGGAGAACGAAAAGACCAAACTGCACATCAAACCCGATACTCCTGAGATCATCCTCTCCCAGCAAAATGCCATCAACATGAGCAAGGTTAGTAAAATTTATTTTGCAAATAAAAAAATCTTCAATCCTCCATTTGATTCAATAAATAATACAAACAAAGGCTATTTTATTGTGGCTTTAATAGTCAGTTATGTGTTTGCGATCATTTCTACAAACTTTGAAAAACGTATCACTTATTTACCATTTAAGTTTATCCTGCCTAGAAACTTTGACACATAGACTCTAAACATGGGTTTTAATTTTAGATAAAAAGGCTGTTTTGTAAATCAACCTTCAAACCTGTAGATTAGTGATGCAACTTAAACAATTATTTTTTTTTGTTCTCTGCGAATGAAAGAGACCCAACTGAAGTGTGAATCTTATATACAAAAACCTAATTAAAGGAGAGACAAATCCATATCCAACTTATTTATAAAGCACATTTAAAAGCAAAAAATAGTTTACCAAAGTACTGCACATTACAAAAATAGAGAATTACATTTTAAGAGACATGATATAGGATACAACAAACTTTATTGATCCCACAGTGGAGAAATTCATTTGTCACATCGACTCAATAGTCAAAAGAAGATGCCAAAAAGCAGAAACGGTGCAGGGGGTATATACAGGGCATCCACATATAACAGGATTATTGCATCGGTTATTGCACAGGGGTTTTACTGCAAAGCTTATTGTACAGGGTATTATTTATTGCAGTTATAGTGCCGTATTCTAAAGTCTGATGCCAGCAGGGATGAATGACTCAGGTAGCACTCCTTTTTACAAACAGGCTGTAAAAGTCTTTCATGAGAAGGTTAAACATCTACACATGGGAACCAATAAACATCTGGTGCTGTGTTTAATGCCAGGGTAAAAGATGGGCACAGATCTAGTTGCCTTTATATGCCTTTATATCAGGACTTGTTTTCCTATAAAAGAAGTGAAAGGTGCGTTAACTTTCACATCGGTGGAACTACAGACTTTTTCCAAATCAAGGGAGGGTGGAGTTTGGGAACAAGAGTGAAAAAGAAAACAGAAGGCATAAGATATTTAACATGTTGTAAAAAAGCTCAATTATATGTCCCACCAGTTCACCTCCGAACCAAAGGGAATCGCATAAGCTTTTGTATGCATATAACATATATCGTCCCTATTCACTGTAGAGAGAGAAAGAGAAAAGTTATTCTGTAGCTGATTCTCTGCATGAAAACTTTCTCAGAATCAGGGTATACAACGAATAAAAGCATTCAAGTAGATATAATAGAATTCAGTTTTTTTTTTAAATCCCTTCATATTTTTCTTTCTTTTTTATTCAGAAACTATACAGACAAGGTTTTGAGGAGACCATCAGCAAAGGCTACTTCCTTCCTCCAGATGCAATTTCTGTCAAGGCTGCCAAGGCCTCCAGGGATATCATCAGTGATGTGAGTCCCACAGACCGTAATCTTTGTCTATTTAGTTGACTTATATTGAAATCAAATGTGATCTTGTTCATATATAAAAAAAAAATGTTTTTTTCTGGTCCTATTAGTACAAGTATAAGACAGGATACAGGAGGCAGGTTGGTCACCACATCGGTGCCCGCAGCGTCCAGGATGACCCTCTGCTGGTGCTGGCTCTGAACTCAGCCAGGATCGCCAGTGATGCTCTGTACAAGAAGGACTTCAATAAGTCCAAGACCAAATTCAACCTCCCAGTGGACATGCTGAATCTTGAACTAGCCAAGAAATGCCAACAGCAAGTCAATGACTTCAACTACAGGACTCGCCTGCACCAGTGGACATGTCTGCCAGACTCTAACGATGTGGTGCAGGCCAGAAAAGCATATGATCTCCAGAGTGATGTGAGTCCCTCTATCACATATTTAGCTTACAATATTGTTCAACTTTTTTATCTACTTTCTAATACTTAAACTATCTCGCTCAGGCTGTGTACAAAGCTGACAGAGATGAAGTCATTGGAGTCGGATGGATACCCATTGGTTCCCTGGATGTAGTGAAAGCCAAAAATGCTGCCAAAATTCTGAGCGACCGTCTCTACAAGCAGAAACCAGACACATTTAAATACAAATCTGACATGATGGCCATGCCCATGGTGCTAGCCAAAGCAAATGCTGAGATCATCAATAAGGTACAGAAGTGCACATTTGAATTTTGTTTGATCATTTGCTGAAGAGTTACTCGGTTTACTTATTTGACCTTTTCTTAATTTTTCTCAACAGAAAAACTACATTGCTGCATGGGAGGCAGAAAAAATAAAAAACCATGTGACCCCAGACCTTCCTGAGCTGCTGCTTTCCAAAGCTAACGCTTACAACATCAGCAGGGTATGTCAAACCTAAAGCATTTTTACCTAATATATCTTTGCACGTTTATGGTGCGCTTTACAGTCTTATTCCTTTGCAGAAAAATTACAGAGAAGCTGTGGAGGAAATGTTCAGGAAAGGCTACGACATGAAGCCTGACGCTGTTTCCATCATCGCTGCTAAACACGGAAGAGAAATCATCAGTGATGTATGTAACATATAACCCAGTGTATTTCTGCCGTCCTTATGCTTGGGTCCTTAACATTTCTTTTTCATTTTTGTTTTCTGTCTGTCTACAAAGTATAAATACAAGACAGGGTACCGCAAGCAGGTCGGTCACCACATCGGAGCGCTGAGCTGTCAGGACGACCCGCTTATCGTGCTGGCTTTGAACTCAGCCAAGATTGCAAGTGATGTTCTGTACAAGAAGGACTTCAACAAGTCCAAGACTAAATTCCACCTCCCAGTGGACATGCTGAATCTGGAGCTAGCCAAGAAATGCCAACAGCAAGTCAATGACTTCAACTACAGGACTAAACTACACAACTGGACTTGTCTTCCGGACTCTAATGACGTGGTTCAGGCCAGAAAGGCTTATGACCTGCAAAGTGATGTGAGTATAGAAAACCACTTTTGCAAGATTGCCTTAGAAAATACTACAAAAATAGAATATTTTCTAATGTTGCCCGCATAAACTTGAATTTTATTGTATGATTCTATCATGTATATCCAATTTATGTAGTTTAATTTTAGTAAAGTATACATTTTGTATCACTACTAACATTTATAACTCACTATCACCCCCGTCCTAAACTGACAGCTTGACTTATATCTAATTTAGTCAAAATTTTATTGTTCACAATTTTTCACCATCATATAGTGAATTATATAGAGCTACTTTTTGCAAGAAAGGGTACAAATATTCAGTTACTATAAACATACACAGCTGTTAAGACTTATTCTAAAAGCTTGAAAACAAGGCCACACTTCTTAGATTTATGTATTATTTTCTTCCCACTGTACAACTATATACATTTTTTTTTAGTTGGCCAACCGCATGAAATCCAAATCACACACAATGAATTTGTGATTGTGCAAAATTTGAAGTTTAAGAGATATGACTCCACTTTGAGGAACTAAATGTATTTCAAAGTTGCTTTTCTTATTCAATTAAATATTAGTCTGACATTTCCTTTTTACATTCCGTTCATAGGCTGTGTACAAGGCTGACATGGAATGGGTTAAGGGAATGGGCTGGGTACCAATTGGGTCATTGGATGTGGAGAAAGCCAAGAAAGCAGCAGAGATCCTGAGCGACAGGAAGTACCGCCAGCATCCCAGCCAATTCAAGTTCACTGCCAAGACATCAGATATGCCATATGCTCTAGCTCAAGCTAATGCCCAGATTATGAACAAGGTACAAAAAGAGGAATTTATTAATAGCTAATTTACAAGACTTTTTGGGAAGCTCAATGCTCACATTTGGTTTAATAAGAAAGAAAAAAAAAAAGGTTGTTAATGTTGTTTTTGGTCCATTTTTCTACAGAAAGCATACATTGAAGCCTGGGAAAAGGACAAGACTAACCTGCATATCTTACCTGATACTCCAGAGATCCTCCTAGCACAGCAGAATAAACTCAACACCAGTCTGGTAAAGTACTGGTATTTTACATAATTAAACAACCCTTTGGTCTAAAGACTACTGCTGAATGAACACATGCATATGAATTTGAAAGGATTGTTGATCTACAGCAGAAACTGGACAACCCACATTACTCCCTAGATTAATTATTCCTTTTTGTTTCCTTCACAGAAATATTATCGTGAAGGTTTTGTTGACACCATCAACAAAGGCTACTATCTGCCAAAGGATGCTATTTCTGTTGTAGCAGCCAAAGCATCCCGCGACATTGTCAGTGATGTAAGTTTGGATCCATTCTCGTGCATTTTTTCACACTCCCCATCTGACTCTGCTTGAATATAAAAAATTTGATCTAAATCTCATGGAAACATCTTCTGTCCTCAGTACAAATACAAGGCTGGTTTCCGCAAGCAGTGCGGCCACCATATCGGTGCTCTGAGCGTCAGCGACGACCCGCTACTGGTGCTGGCCGCTCATGTTGCCAAGATCTCCAGTGACAATGTCTATAAGAAGGATTATAACAAGACCAAGACCAAGTACAACCTGCCGGTAGACATGCTGACAATTGAGCTGGCTAAGAAATGCCAGCAGCAGGTCAACGACACCAACTACCGAACTTACCTGCACCAGTGGACATGCCTGCCCGACTCAAGCGATGTGGTTCAGGCCAAGAAAGTCTACGACCTACAGAGCGATGTGAGTTTTTGTACTCTGGCAGTTCTATTCAGCTTAATTAATATCTATATTATAGTATTTTAATAGTAGTAGTAGTTTTGAGTGTGAGTTGGTAAGAATTTTTTGATACGATATATATCACAATACACATGTCACAATCTCATTTATGGCGATACATTAACATAGATGATATATTGAGATTTTCATGATAATATAGCTTTGGAGAACCGCACAAGATCTCATTGCTCTGCTGCTGCTGCTGCTGGTACAGAGAAGTTAAACAATAGGCACTTGGGCGGTGCACTGCCGACTAGTTGCTGGAGGTTATCCTATAGATATTTTTCACTTATAAGATTCATTCTTACTCGTACTATGTATCGATAAATATTGTTTAATAAAATATGGCGCTATTTGACAGAATTGATTTCTTTTTTTACACCCCAAGTAGTAGTTGTAGCAATGGCATTGGTAGTACTGTATAACTGTAAAAATAGAAGTAATGTAGTACTGCTATGACATGTATAAATGTTACTACCCAGAAACAGAAAAAAAAAATCTGATTTTGGAGATTAATTACCTTCTTTCGATATGAAACTATGCATTTTGGACAATTTATAGAATATTAAAGAAAAAAATCTTTATGCTGTTTTTTTTCTTTTAGGCTGTTTACAAAGCAGATCTGGAGTGGCTGAAAGGATGCGGATGGTCCCCCCAGGACAGTGTGGATGTCATCAAGGTTAAGCATGCACAGACCGTTCTCAATGATAGGCTGTACCGCCAGCACCCAAGCACCGTCAAGTTCACCAGTGTGGTTGACCTTCCAGCCATCGTCCTGTCCAAGCAAAACGCAGACAACCTCAGTGATGTGAGTGCTAACATCTGACCACAAGTTTTATCAGATTAACATGAAAACTCTTTCAAGCAGTTATGCAAATAAGGAAATAATGTTTTGTGCTTTCCTTTTCAATAGAGGAAATATAGGGAGGTTTGGGACAAAGAGAAGCTCGTCACTCACATCCCCCCTGACATTCCTCCTTATGAGCTGGCCAAGGCCAATGCTATCACTGTCAGCAATGTGAGTTGGTGTTAAATTTTTAGCTATAAAAATGACATTATCTGTTCATATTGAAATGTTTTCTGGTTTGAAGTTGATATATCTCTCCGTTGTCTACCTCTGTTTTTGTTCTGTATAGAAACTGTACACTCAAGCATGGGACGACCAAAAGGCCAAAGCCTTCCAAATCAAGGAGGATGCTATAGCTGTGCTGAAAGCTAGAGCCTCCAGAGACATCATTAGTGATGTAAGAAGCTGAAAAAAAAGCCTTTCACATCCATATGACATAGACCTGGTGATTTTCTTTTTTTAGTAACTTGTTTTGTTCCTTTCCCTGTTAGTACAAGTACAAAGAGGGATACAGGAAGCAGGTCGGTCACCACATCGGTGCTCGCTGCGTCCAGGATGATCCTCTCATCATGCTGGCTCTGAACTCAGCTAGGATCGCCAGTGACGCTTTGTACAAGAAAGACTTCAACAAATCCAAGACCAAGTTCCACCTGCCAGTTGACATGTTGAGTCTTGAACTAGCCAAGAAATGCCAGGTCCAAGTGAATGACTTCAACTACAGGACTCACCTACACCAATGGACCTGTCTGCCAGACTCCAACGACGTGGTTCAGGCCAGGAAAGCCTATGACCTCCAGAGCGATGTAGGTTCATGGCAATGTTCTTGGATAGCATCTGTTTTACATCAGATTATCATTCTTATGAATAATTTCCAATATAAACAGGATTCTGTTTTTTTCCTCTAGGCTGTGTACAAAGCTGATTTGGAGTGGATAAGAGGCTGTGGATGGATGCCTCATGAGTCTGTGGACGTTGTCAAGGTGAAACATGCTCAGAAGATCCTTGCTGATGTAAGTATGAAACACAACTCTCCCCAAAACACTTAAAATGTAAAACATTTAATGTTGAAATGTAAAAGCATAGAAAAAAATAAACTAAATAATTACTTATATATGTTTGATCTTGCTTTTTCCCACAGAGAGGCTACCGTATCAAGCTCGATAGACAGGAGTTCACGGTTCCTGCTGATAGAGTTGACCTGGCTTGTGCCAAGAATGCTGCTGATGTCTTAAATGAGGTAACTAAAGGGTTTTCTTCTTATCATTACACCTTGTTTTAACATAACTTTGAAGACACAATGCAGAATCACATTTATATTTTTTTAAGTAACTAAATTGGGTCTTTTGTTTTTTTTTCCTGCACAGGCCAAATACCGTGAGGCTTGGCACCAGGAAAAGACCAAGTACACTTTGGTAGATACTCCCGGTCTTGCTACAGCCAGAGAGGTCGCCAAAAATGTTCACCCGGTAAGATTTACCATATTTTTTAACTAATTATTGTTTGCTTTCGGCTATCTTGGAGATTTATTTCCTTTTTCCTTCTTTCTTTTTTTTCTTCCTTTTATATAGAAACTGTACACTGAAGCGTGGGACAAGGTGAAAGCCACCGGATTCTTCATGCCTGGAGACGCTGTACCAATTAAACAGAGCATGCTTACAACTAAAGTCCAGAGTAAGGTAGGTAAAGGGACTTTAGATTAAAAATATAAAGTTTTAAGAACCTAGAACATTTTTGCATTTATAACAGATACCTTAACAGATACTTTGTGAGGCTTGTACTTACTGTGTTTGGCCTTTTTGGTGACATGCAAAGATAAAGATAGACAATAACGCTCATTAAATTCTAGCAATGCATTTAAAGTATTGCCATACAGGATAAAATACAATAAAAGTGAGTGATTTAAAGAATTTTTGTGATCAGTCATGACTATTTTAAGGGTCTTAATTTAATCTCAAATGAAGCTGATCAGCATTAATTCTCACATAAAGGAGGCTGTTGCTGAAGATTTACATAACCATACTGTATGAATCCCATAAAATTACCCTCATGTTACGGAATTAGTGGCATTGAACATGCAAGAGATGTGATGCTTTAAACCAGGGGTGACTAACATGAACCTCTGAGGCCAAAACTGAATGGCTTATTTCTTCTTAGCGTAAACTCTTGTGTTTTGTTATAAAGCTTCATTGACCTGTTTTTCACACTTGAGAAAAAAAGCAATAATTTTCACAGAAGAACTGACTCATATCCTGTTCTTTTTCCTGATAAAAGATTGAAATAGGCTTAACGATCCCTTTTTTTGCACATATCAGACAGTTTTTGTCTGACAGTGCTCAGTTCATTTTAGGTAGAAATTAAAATTGGTCCAATTAACGAAATTTTGTTTGAGATTTGAGAGATTTATTTCGATTTCAAAGTTAACCAATGCAGCATTCATTGGTAGATGGTCTCTAATCAATCTTATTTTTGTCCTTACCTTGCAGTAACAGATCCTTAAAGTCTTACACTGCTTTTCAAATGTTAAACAGGAAGCAGGCATTTGTTAAATGGCTATTTGATCATTTTTTTTACATCTCACATGAGGCATGATTTTACAAATTGTACTGTAACAGACTTCAATGCTTGAATGCATGTTAAAGAAACACTGTCATGAGAACATTTTGTTTGTCTTGTAGCATAATTACCTAGAGGGATACCGCAAGCAGGTTGGCCACCACATCGGTGCTCGCTGCGTCGAGGATGATCCTCTCATCATGCTGGCTCTGAACTCAGCTAGGATCGCCAGTGACGCTCTTTACAAGAAGGACTTTAACAAGTCCAAGACCAAGTTCCACCTGCCAGTGGACATGTTGAATCTGGAGCTGGCAAAGAAATGTCAGCAGCAAGTCAATGACTTCAACTACAGGACTCGTCTGCACCAGTGGACTTGTCTGCCTGACTCCAATGATGTGGTTCAGGCCAGAAAGATTTATGACCTTCAGAGTGATGTAAGTAAAGAAGTTTAACATCTTTAAATGTATTTCATAAAGTTTAAAACCTTTTTTTAAGCTAATTATGGTTTCCACCTGCAGAACGTCTACAGGGCTGATCTGGAATGGATCCGTGGCTGCGGTTGGATGGCAGCTGACTCTGTTGACCACGTCAAAGTCAGGAAGGCGCAGGAAATACTTAATGAAGTACGGTTCTGTCATTGCATCCAGTCTGGAGGCACTTCACAAGAATTACTGCCTTATTGCTGCCGTGGTCTTTCTTGATGTTGTCTTTTTTTTCCCTTTATTTAGCGACTTTATAAGAAGAACGCCATAGAAGGCTTTGGAAAATTCAGCCTGATTGTGGATCGTCCTGAGATTGTCTTGGCCAAGATTAACGCCGCTAACCTCAGTGATGTACGCAGTCCTGTGGTTCCCCTGAAACAACATCTAAAGAAAACGAAAGACACAATTTTATTAATGGGTACATGAAAATAAATTGATATAATTTTCTTTCTCAACAGCTGAAATATAAAGAGACTTTCAATGCTGAGAAAGGTCATTACATCGGCTCAGAAGATACTCCTCAGCTGGCACATAGTAGAGATATGGCCAAGACCATCAGTGAGGTAAGAAGACAGAAATGACCGGGTTGTTTATTCACTTGCTTTATATTTTTTCCCTTACTTTAAAACTCCTGTTATCATTTCAGAAACTATACAAATCACAATGGGATAGTACTAAAGCTACAAGCTACAGCCTGGACCAGCAATACATCCCACTGCTCATGGGCAAGAAGAGCAGGGAGATTGCCAGTGATGTAAGTTTTCAAACAAGAAATTATTATTATTATTGTTATTACTACAGTTGCTTGAAAGGTTAAAGTATGCATGAAGTTATGTTTTCTGATAGCAGCATGAAATAAAGTGAATTAATTCTGCTTTTTAGGTTAAGTACAAGGATACTCATGAGAAAGCCAAGGGCCACTACATGGCGGGAACCCTGGTGGACTTCCCTGAGGTGGTGCGCTGTGGCCAGCAGGAGAAGAATAAGGGACTGGTAAGTTATCTGCAATAGTGACATTTTTTATATGCGCACCACACACAAATCTACCAGTGTTAAAGGCTAGAAAGCAATTACTCAAAACACCATCTGTATTATAACATTATACATATCTTATGCTTCAATGTGTAGATCCCTTTAAACATGAATATATAAAATAGTTACTGTACCATGGAAACCATATTATAATACCCACTTATATTTTTGGATAATTTGTCTTGTGTCAAACAAAAACAACGAAAATAGCCCACTGAGAGTTGGAAGAAAGACTTTATTTCTCCCAGTAATGTCCCCTTTACTCAGTATCTGAGTTAAAGGGGTGAACAGAGGTGGGGACAGTACCGTAATTGTACTCAAATAAGAGTATGAACATAACATATTTCAAGTCAAGTAAGAGGAGGAAACCTTAGCTTTAAACCTAAGGTTGTGGATTTTCTGTCAGTTTGACTGAGATTTTCTATAAAATGTTTTTACAGAGGGTCTACCAGAAGGACTACCACCAAACCAAGACCAAGATCCACCTCCCATCTGACATCATCGCCAACCAGGTAGCTAAGCGGTGTCAGGACATGTTGAGCGACGTCCTCTACCGCACCCACCTGCACCAATGGACGTGCCATCCAGAACAGGAGGATGCCATCCGCGCCCGGAAGACCAACGAGATTCTCAGTGATGTAAGTCGTTCCTTTCTGTTCACTGTCTGCTGCTGTTCTAACATTTATAACGTACTTTTTTTTTTTTTTTTATAAAAATTTGTAAAACTAATTTTAGGTGCATTTCTGTTTTGATTTGATTCTTAGTAAATAATTTAGGTCTCTTTATCTTAGTTGCTAAATTATTTTAGAGACACTGGTACCTTTACACCATTATTCAGTGTTTTTATTACATGTTAAAAGTATTTTCATTTTCTTACGCATTAAGAAATCTGAAATACATATTTTTTCATTTACATTTAATATTAGTTTGTCCCTTCTCTTCATATTAATGTGTGTTATGTTTATGTTCTTACATGAAGCAACAACATCATATGTTTATGAATTTATATATTTATTTATCATTATTGTATTATAATAGGTCAATATTTAATGTATTGTGTGTTTTGGCATCTTAGAATAAAAATCATTCACCAGCAGCTCAGATCGTTTTTATTTATTTATTTATTTTTTGCCGAAACGGTTTATAAAGCTTTAATGTATTTGATTTATAAATCTATGGGGGGAACTTGTAGTGGGTCTTTATTGATTAATTTAGGTCTTATATCAGCATGGTCATTAATAAGTATTAATAAAGGTTTAAATAAAATCGAATTTAACTTCCTGACACCCTGATCAATTTAGTATTTTAGAGATTTAGCTTTATTTTCAATCACATATAAAGTTAAAGGCTAAATCTAATATGTCTACCTTTAAATTTTCAGCACTTACCTTTAACCTTTGATCTCAAAGAAAAAAAATACTAAAAGACAGAAAGAGAGAAAAGACAAAGTAAAAGTTTTTGACCCTCATTCAAGATAAATATTCATTCAGTCATATACTGTAACTGTCTAAGATATATTCTAACTTGTTTTTTTTTATAGAAAATCTGAGTTAAACATTTGAAATGTATGCCCACATCATTACATACTTGAGCTCTAAGAACAGGCAAACATTTCTGTTTTATTATTCCGAATATTCCTGATTTTCAAAAATCTAATAATCCTCATTTGGAAATAAGATATAATCCGTCATGTTTTACTGAACTCATTCAATAGGTGTTTTACAAAGATGACCTGAACTGGATGAAGGGCATCGGTTGTTACGTCTGGGACACACCAGAGATTCTCCGCGCCAAGAAATCCTACGATCTGCAGAGCGATGTGAGGAACCGCACGCATGTTTCATATCAAACATTACTTTAAAACCTATTCCAGTTATAAATATGATGTTTACCTCTCTGATAATTCGTCTGTTTGGTTTATTTCCAGCTCAAATACAGAGCTGATGCCAAGAAAGAATTTAACAACTACTCCATTGTGACCGACACACCTGAGTATGTGACCGCCGTCCTGGGTCACACCTGGGCCAGTGAGGTACGAGATTTAAAAAAATAAAATCATCATGAATGGTGTTCAAGAAAGAAAAGCCAGATAACTTCATCCTTTTTCTATGTTTTCCAGCTGAACTACAGGGAGGCTTATCAGAAGGAGAAGCACATATACACCACTGTTCTGGATACCTACGATTACGCCAGATGCCACAACTTCAAATATTTCTTCAGCAATGTCAGTAACAATAAAATATTTTCGTAATTTTAAAGACTTAGAGGAATTTGATGATGATGATGTCTTAAAATTTCTATCCACAGAAAAACTACACAGCAGCCTGGGATAAAATTAAGGCAAAGAGCTACCAAATTCCAGCTGATTCCAACGCCTTACAACACGCCAAACAGCAGAAGGTCGTTCTCAGCAATGTAAGTTCAAATTCATCACCAACCATTAAATTTTCTAATTGATGATTATCCTATAAATGTACATGTGATTATCTTCTTTAAGACACTATATGCATCTTCTTGCCTCTTCAGGTCAAGTACAAGGAGGATTATGAAAAATTCAAATCCCTTTACAGTCTTCCAAAGTCGCTTGAAGACGACCCTGCGACCGCTCGCTGCGTCAAAGCCGGAAAGCTGGTTCTAGATGTGAGCATTTTCTTTTATTTCCTGATCCTCTTTATATTAACACTATTAAAAGATACAAGTTTTGTTTTTTTTGTAATGCTATGAATTTTGTCAACTAATGCAAGCATCCCTTTGCTTATCCGTTCAGCGTCTGTACAAGGAGAACTACGAGAAGACAAAGGCCAAGAACCATATCCCCCCTGACATGCTGGAGATCATGTCTGCTCGCAACACCCAGTCCACCGTCAGCGGCATCCACTACCGCAAATATCTACACCAGTGGATATGCCTGCCCGACATGCAGATGTATGTTCAGGCACGCAAAGTCAACGAGCAGCTCAGCGATGTGAGTAACCATCGTATGGTCGTAGCATCACACCGAACCCATGTGATAGCATGAACGGATTTTATCAAGGTTGAAAATGTGCTAAATATAAGTTATTCTCCCTCAGATCTTCTATAAGGATGATCTGAACTGGCTGAAGGGTATCGGGTGTTACGCCTGGGACACTCCAGAGATCCTGCGGGTTAAGAATGCTGGTGACCTACAGAGTGAGGTAAATGTTCTTAAAATATTCATCCTTTATCTAAATCCTCTCCACCATTTATTTATTGTTTTTTTAATTTTGCATTTTTTCCTTTTCAGGCCAAGTACAGAGCCAAAGGTATCGAGGCGTTCAAGGACTACACTGTAGTGACGGACACTCCGGTGTACGAAACAGCCAAGCTGAACGCTCAGAACCTGAGTGATGTAATTACATTGTTTTCCCCGTTTTTTATAAATACCTTTCTTACATTAGATTCTAATAAAAGACATGCTGCCAGATTAAAAAACAAGTCATGATAAACAAGATTATGAATAAAAAAATATTCTGCTCTTTTGTCTAGCTTCATTACCGTTACGATTACAACTCCAACGTCAAGGGCACCCACACCTCCCCTGCTGTTACCATGGAAACAGAAAGAGCCCGCCTGGCCCACCACATCCAGAGTGATGTATGTCAACATTCCTTAATGTTTAATTTTTATATATATATATATATATATATATATATATATATAGTACCAGGCCATGTAAAATATTCTTCCTAAATGTGTTTTTTTTCTACTAGAAATGGTACAAAGAGGCGAACAAGAACTTCATGCCCACTGGTTTCTCCCTGCCTAGTGATACTCCGCTCCTCAAGCAGGCCAAGATGAACAGCGTTGTCACCAGCAATGTAGGGATTCATTAAAATGTAGTTTTGAAACATGAAGGTATCAAAATGCACCTGATTAATCCACTTCCACCATTATCTGTTTAGGTGAAATACAAGGAAGCCTTTGAGATGGTGAAGGCCAAATCCTACACTCTTCATCCAGAAGGTGTCAACTTCGTCACTGCCAGGAAGGCTCACAAGATCATCAACGACGTAAGTGGTGAAGATTTCCTGAGTGTCGTCGAACAGAACGCATAAGGATGCGATTTCGCTTGAGAGAAATAATTTTTTACCCATTTGCTTCCTCAGCGTTTGTATCGTGAAACCTACCACAAGCAGAAGGACAAGATCCACACAACCTACGACACGCCTGAGGTCAAACAGGTCAAGATGAACCAGCAGAACCTGAGTGATGTATGCATCAACAACCCTCTTTACATTTTGTTCTTTATTTCTGGTGGAATGTTGTTGAGAGGAAGTGTGGTTTATGCCTCCATTTTTGTTTGTTCTTCATCACTCTAGATTTGCTACAAGGAGAAATACTACAACAGCAGAGGCCAGTATATCTCTATGCCTATAACACCCCAACTCATGCACTGTCACCACGTCAATGAGATCACCAGTGAGGTATTGCAATAAAACACATTGAAATATTCCCCACATATTCACAAAATTTTTCAACATGAATGTTATTTGTTGGTATTAGCTAAGGTATAAAGAGGATCTGATGTGGCTGAGAGGCGTTGGCTGCTTCCTGTATGACACCCCGGAGATGGTCCACGTCCGTAACATCACCAAATTCAGGGTATGTGCGTCCTTTGAGATGCTCATTTCATATTAACAAAAGGTATTTTTTCAGAGGTGCATCTCCTATAAAACTTGTTTTTTGTTGTTTCATAGACAAGCTATCCAGACGATGCTAAAAAGAACCTCTCTAACTTCACTGTGGTCCTGGATACTCCAGAATACAACCGCGTGACCGAGTTAAAGACCCACATGAGTGACGTGAGTTGACTTTTCATGTTATATATAGCATTTGTATACCCTCAATATTTACATTTTATGTTTTGAACCAACAGTTTGTAGATGATTATGAAAAATTATCAATATCAAATGGTTTTCTTTTCTATTTTTATTAAACATCTATTGGGGGAATCCAAGTAGCTTGCTTTACTGCGTCCACCCCGCTAATCTCCATTTATTCACTGGATTGCTGATGGGCAGTTGGTAATACACGGTGCTGTGATGTCACCAGCCGCCATATTGGTACTCCCTAGTTAGAACGGTAATAAACAATACGTGCGCTACAGCATTGAACAATGATGTGGTTCTCATTTTCACGAGGACTTAAGACTTTTAGAACAAAATAATTACTTTCACACACACACCTGCTGTTTCAGAGCATCTCTAGATTACTGTAATTTATGGTTAAAAAATAGGCACTTTGCATTGCACATTCAGTATGAAGTCCATGAAGTCTATAAATTATGTAATAAAACATATTATACAAATCCATCACATCAAAAATAGTGTGTTAATGGAGCATAATGATACTGTAGTCAGATATTAAGAATATTACAGATACACACACAGACTATCTGATGATTGCCAAAAGTGCTAAATTGATGATGTACATGTAATATACATGTATTGATTACATTATTAAGGTAATTCAATTACAATACATGCATTTTATGGCAAGTGGGGAGCACCAAGATGACGACAGGTGACTTCAGTCTTTTTCAGTCTAAATGGAGATCAGTGGTCCACCCACATTTGAAAGATAGGATCAGACAGAGAAGCCTTTGGTAACTTTGGATTAGCTGCAGAGATGAATAGCTCAGGATGGGAGGAATATATAGAGAGAGTAACTTTTAGTTGCACAATCACAAAAAGAAAACCTCACCTTGCTTAAAGAGTGACAGTTAAAGGAAGTCATGTTTTTGCACTTTATTTCTTGTAACAGCAGATTTGTTTCTTCAGGTATATAACAACTTTCATCTCTTGTATTTTTTGTGCAATATTCGTTAAAAGTTCTGCTTTTTTAATCTATTTTGCAGCAGGTTATACATTTTCTTTTCATTGTTTGTCTCTTTCCAGAGGATATACAGAGCTCAGAGCAGAAAGGATATGGTTAAAGTTTCCTCCATCGCAGACTCTATGGACATCAAGCGAGTCAAGTGGGCCCAGCAGCTGACAAACAAGGCAATCCAAAATACATCTCTGCTCTTCAGGCGTAGTAATCACATTTTATCATTTATCTAACATAAAACATACTGCTTGATTTTAATTTTTCCCCACAGTACCAGTACACAGATCTGGCCTCTAAGGAGAGAACTCATTTCACTCCAGAAAAAGACACTCCAGTCAATCAACATGCAAGAAAAATGAAAGTGGTCTTCAGTGAAGTAAGACGTCTATTCTTCTATTAAAATACTTTAAATTACCTAAATGGATCAGAGTATCTATAAAACAAATATCTAACCTGTTGTGTTTTCTGTTCTGCACTCAGATTAAATACAAGGAACAGTATGAAAAGATGAAGCACAGGTACACTGCTATTGCTGACACGCCCATGCTGATCCGTTCCAAGAAAGCCTACCTGCAGTCCAGTGACGTAAGTATGACCAAGAAACATTTCCCAAAATCCTAGTAGATAACTTGATTTATTATAGTTTATTATCTTTCCCCAAATTTGATCCTTCCTTTAGTTGCGCTACAAGGAAACATTTGAGCTTTCCAAAGGCCACTATCACACCAACAAGGATGCCCTGGACATCGTCTGCCACCGTAAATTCACCGATGACATCAGCGAGGTCAGAGGCTGAAATTAACTGATCAGAAATAAAAAGGCAATGACCCGTTTTCATTTTCTTTAAACCGTCTCTCTCTGCTTTTCTCCTCCGCAGGTCAAATACAGAGAGAAGTATATTAACTCTCTGGGCACATGGAAGTCCATCCCTGACCGCCCCGAGTTTTTCTTCAGCAAGATAGCCAATGATAACATCAGCAATGTGAGCGCTCATACCTCACAAGTCTTCACAGCAGGAGGAGGGACTAACATGCTGTAATACACTGGTGCTAAATCCCCGTTTTTTGCCTTGATCCTCTTTGTTTAGGTGAAGTATAAGGAGGACTTGGAGTGGCTGAGAGGTATCGGCTGCTACGCGTGGGACACTCCTGAGCTGCAGCTGGCTGATAAGAATAAGACTCTCTACAGTGAGGTGAGGGGGCGACACCTCTCCTATATCCTTCAACCTTGCGTTCTGCTTGTTTTCCAACCCTCCTTTTTAATCGCAGAGACTCTACAAAGCCTCCTTTGAGAAGAACAGAGGAAACTTCAAATACACGTGCGACACGCCGTTCTTCGAGGCTATGAGGAACGCCTCACTTCTTATCAACGATGTGAGTCTTTCCCTTCTTTTCCCTTTATACTGTATTAAATAATCTGATTTTTATTCACTCAAAAATGATCAAACATGTTAATCTGTCTCTTTGCTTCTCTTTTGGACTCTGCTTGGAGGTAAAACAATGTAAAGGTATCATTATTTAACAATAACTTAGAATACTGATGCCTAACAATGTGGCTGCTAGAGAACTCAGGGAAGTGTAGTTCAAATTTGATCAACAATAGAACTGCTTTTAAGCACAGAACTGCTATTTTTCAGGCCTCTTATATATATATATTAACTTAATTGTAAGAAAGATTATGAGTAAACTGTATATACGGTAAAAGGTTAGAAGAGGGTCAGAGGAGTGAAAAGGAGTGAGGAATTCTCACAGTTTTCTATCCATTGAAGCTTAATGTGAGATAAGAGAAGCATCTTTACAGGGATGTCAGATTAGCCTCATTCATATATTCACTGGTGATGTCACAGAGACATTTTATAAATAATAAGTCTGAAAGAAGAAAAACTCTAATAAAAACAACCTGTTTTCAAGGCGAGGCAAGTTTATTTGTATAAGACAATTCAGTTCAAAGGCAATTCAAAGAATTACATGAAGTATATGATAAGACAGAAGAAAAATAAAAGAGTAAAAATAAAGATAAAAAAATTATAAAAGCAGGTCGTAAAACAAATAAATCAGCTGGATCACAACCTTAAAGTGATAATACCTGGGTTAGCACTTTAACTTCAACAGTCAAAAGCAGCTCTAAATGGGTTTTTAACTTTGACCTCAAAGAACTCAGGCTTTCAGCATTTTTCCAGTCTTCTGGGAGTTTGTTCCAGATCAGTGGAGCATAGGACCTAAAAGCTGTTTCTCCATGTTTGGTTCTAGTTCTGGGTGAACAGAGTAGGCAGGAACTAGAAGACCTGATTGTTCTGGGTGGTTGATACACTGACAACAAATGTTATGCATTAAGGTGCTGATTTATTCAGGGATTTATAGACTAACAGAAGGATTTTAAATCTACTCTCTGAGCTACAGGGAACCAGTGGAAGGACTTCAGAAACGGGCTGATGTGCTCTACTTTCTTAGTTCTAGTGAGAACCCGGGCAACAGAGCTTTGGATCAGCTGCAGCTGTCTGGTGGACTTTTTTAGGCAAACCTGTGAAGACACAGTTGCAGTGATCAATTCTACTAAAGAAAAATCCATGAATTATTTTTTGTAGATCCTGCTTGAACATAAGTCCTTTAGTCCTGGAAATGTTCTTCAGATTTTAAAATGCTGACCCTGTAACTACCTTTATGTGCTCTGAAGGCTCAGGTCTGAGTCCATCCTGACACCAAGATTTCAGCCATAATCAGTGATTTCTAGCTGAAGCTGTGAGCTAACTCTGGATCTCTTCTCCTTTGGTCTGAAGAGTATTAAGTCAGTTTTGTTTTTATTCAGTTGTAGAATGATGTTCCATGTATTGAGGTGCTGATGGGTTTATAGTCACCTGGTGACAGTGTGATGTAAAGCTGTGTGTAGTCTGCATAGTTATGGATACTGATCGAGATGTTTGCTATAATCTAAGCTAAGGGGAGCATGTAGATGGTGAATAGGAGGGGCCCCAGAATGGAGCTATGAGGAATGCCGTAAGTGATTTTTTTCAGGTCTCTGATTTAATGTTCCCTACTGATACATAGAGGTCCCTTTACTTCAGGTAGGATTTAAACCAGTCCAGTGTTTTACCAGAAAGGCCGACCCAGTTTACCAGGTCCTCTAATAAAATGGAGTGATCAACGGTATCAAATGCTTCACTGAAGTCCAATAAAACCAGTACTGTGGTTCTTTCATGTGAATTTCATATGACTTTGCTGTGTTTTTTGTGCAAGAAGACATGCTAGAAAAAATGTGAATGAAATTGTTTCCCATTTCTGATGACGCATATTTAACTTTTTGTCAATTTTTTTTACAGCAACATATTTTTTTGTAGTCCTTAAAAGTTTTCTGACATACCAGAGACACGTGTATTTTTTTTAACAAACTTCTGAAATTCTGAGCAGAGGATCTACAAAGCTAATTATGAGAAGACCAAGGATAAGTTCACCATTACTACAGATGATCCTAGATACCAGCTGGCCAGGGAGAACAGGAAGATGAGCCAGGTAAAGGTCCTGGAAGTGCCGAGCGACCGGCCAGCCTACCTGCACGCTGCAGGTCCTCCAGCCAGCTCACACTGGTGCATGAGGTTGTCCGCACAGCTGCCAGTGGGGGCGGTCGCCGCATGGCTGTGACGGGTCCTCTCTGTTTCTATTTGTCCCTCACAGGTTCCTGTAATTCGTGCCACTCAAATAGCAGCTGCTACCTTGAGTGAGCATGACCTATGTGCATCTGTTACCTGAGAGAGACAGCAGGAGTTCACAGATGAACTGAACATTTCTACTAAATGTTTAATAAAATAATCTAAACTGAACTCCATCAAAGGTGATGGTTTCTCTCTCTCTCCGTGGGCACAGATGGCCTTTGGGTGTTTCACCTGGATCTGCGGAGATCTCCTCCAGTCCTTCCAGAGTTATTTCTGTCTCTTAGCTTGTTCTAAACTCTGGCATGCTTTGTGTGTATGTTTGTTACTGTATGTGCGGACAGAAAAAATATAAATCCCGAGCAAAGGATCTGCTACAGACTGGCTGCAATGAGTTACTCCGTCCTGACATCCTCACAGCCCTTTGCCAGTCTGCTATGGGCAGCAAGGTAAACCGTCAGAGTTCGCTGAGCTGTTGTAGCACAGACCTGTCCACAAACACACAGGAAATACACCCTTCATCTACGTTTGGGGGGTTTAAACTTATTCGATTGTTGAGGATTAGAGGATGCTGATGAAATGCAAAGCGGAGCTTTCTACACAGCAAAAAAATTATTAATAATACAAGTAATTCAGTTATCTGAGCAGGTAAATAAGACAATTTTGCCAAAAGAATAAGGTTATTTAATTCTGAAATAAGACAAAACATCCCTGTTATCTTATTTCAAGTTGAATAAACTAATTCCTTTGATCATCTTATTTAGCTGCTCTATTTAAGGGCAAATATATTAATTTAAAATAAATATTTATCAACAGCATTTTGGTGTGCTGTTGATTTTTTTTTTTTTTTTTTGTTACTTCTATATCAAAATATTTTTGGATTTAGAGCGTTTAAGTTTTTTGGTTAGACAAGCCCAGGTTGACAAAATATGGAAATCTGCTCCAAAATCTTTTTCTAGGAAAAAAAAAAAAAGGGTTTTATAAGTTTATAAATTATTTTAGATCAAACTCTCTTTTTTTTCTTTTTCTTTTGTATGTGAGGCATGTTTTTTACATGGTAAATCGCACTTTAGTTTCAAAAAGCAAATATGATCTTATTAGACATTTTTGCCATCTCATCTACCTCTAAAGTTTATTGCCTAAAGCCTCAGATCACAGATTTTCCTCTTTCTCCTGGTGTTTTTGGACATGGTTTTTCCCATCCTCCCATCCATTTAGGCCACATAGTTCTGAATCCATGCATTAATCACTGTTAATCCCTCCATCACTCGTATCTCATTGTTAATTAAAACTCTAACGTATTCTAAAATGCAGTGCCATCACCTAGTTGTTAGCAGGCATATGCAGCTGCAAAGTTAATTATATTTTACATTATTAGACCTTTATATTTTATATTATATTTCATGAGTTGCAATTTTTATGCAATATAGTTTATATCTATAGGATTTCTAATACAAGTTTTTTTTTTATTATTCTTTGAGTAAAAAAAATATTCAGTGTCCATTCTATTAGCCTCCATTTATGGTGCTACAAACAATAAAATTCACCAAAGGTAAACAAAAACTCCACAAGAGCATCCAATGCCAGCAGTAAAAGCAGCTGCTACTATAACTAAAATAGAAATGCAATGTTTTGAGGGTAAATTCTGTATTAATATTAAATGTAGCTCAGTGGAAGAGCAGCAGGTCATTGTGAAGACGGTGGGCACCGCAGGCTTTCATCATCAAATAGTGGTAACTTGTGTTTTTAATTGTCATCTTCACATCTTTCTGTGTCTAATACAGCATGTTTTTGGTGACGTTATGCATGCTAACACTCCATCTTTGTTTTCTTAATAAAAGATGAATTGATGTTTATGCATTTTCTTTGATTTATAACTTAAAAAAACTATCCAAACAAGTAAATATAGTTCAATTTTCGTAACATTTTTTCTCCCCCAATATAATTTAAGAGCTCTATTTTGGATAGTTTTTTTTTGTTGTTGTTTTGCATTCATTAGTTACAACCACACATATATATATATATATATTTTTTTTTCTTTTTCTTTTTTTCTTATTTATTATTATTATTTTTAGCATTTAATACACTGGTTTTGAAATGAGCTATGCTAATTTGAATGTTGTCCCTCCTCAGTGGAAGTACAGGGAGCAGTATGAGCGCGCCAAAGATAAGTTCACTTCTGTTCTGGACACTCCTGAGTATGAGGCTCACAAACGCAGCAAGAAGATTACGGATGTAAGTTTTTTGTTGTTCTTCCCCTGTTTATGTTTTACTTCTATTTTTATTTGCATTTTACTATTCAACTAAAATATTCTTTTCTTTTATTTAGATCATCTACAGGATGGAGTACAACAAGACCAAGGCCAAGGGATACACTTTGCCTTACGATACTCCACACCAGCAGCACATGAAGAAGGTCAAAGAGATCACCAGCAATGTGAGTTTCACCCAAACTTTCTACTAAAAAATGACACCCTAATCTTATTATGTGTAATGGAATAAATAAGATGATATGTTGTTTTTTTTTGACTCAAATATAATCAAACAGATTAAATAATTACAGTTAGTTTATATTATTAAAAAAAAAAAGCCAAATAAAACCCTATCACTGGAAAAATGATCTAGAAATAAGTAATAATTCCTTAAATTAAGTTATCCTTTGATTTTGAGTAGGTAAATGATAATTTGCCAATGGAATGAGTATTTTTACTCTTAAAATAAAATAGTTGGATAATATGCACTTAAAATAAGACAATGTAATCGTGTTTTCTTATTTTAAGTGTAAATTGTTTTGTTTCATTGGCAAAATGTCTGTTTTACGTCCTCAATCCAAGAATAATTTACTTATTTTAAGAAAAATGACTTATCTAGATTTCGATTTTTTTCCAGTGCTGCTCCTTACAGAGTTACACCAGGTAGATAATTGGCTACTTATCAGACACGCCTCTTTAAGCTTGTTAACGGCCGTTTGAAAACAGTTTTAGTCTAACAATCTAAGCCTTTTACAGCCTGACACCTCTCAAAAGGATTAAGCGCATTATTTTTCACATCAAAACGTTGCTTTTGATTTTTTTAAATGTTATTAACATCTGAGCCAAAATGGGCTCCAGCCTCTATTCTTTCATATAGTATATGACTCCAGAAAGGATCTTTATTATTATCGATTGTGTTATCTCATTTACAATTTTATCGATTGTAAATAAGAAGTGGTTCTAAAATAGTTTGCCTAGATAAATAAAGGTTAAATGAAACTGAAAAATTCTAAGTTGAACTGGGAGCAGCAGGTAAGACTTGCATCTATAGTTTGAATTGACTTTTAAGTCCTGATCTTTAGAGTTACATGAAAAAAAGATTTCTGTGTTTAGTTTAATACCTTCAGGTAAATGACTGCTAATCACTGAAAAAACAATCTAGAAATAAGTAAACATTTCTTAAATTAATCGTATTTACTCTTAATTTGAGTTGGTAAATGAGATAGTTTGACAGTGGAATGAGTATTTTTAGTCTTAAAATAAGACAATTAGAAAATATGCACTTGAAATAAGACAATGCAACTGTGTTTTTAGTTTTTCAAATGTAATTTTTCTTATTTTAAATGTAAATTGTCTTGTTCCATTGGCAAAATATCTCTTTTACCTAATAAATGCACTTATTTTAGGAAAACATGATCTAGTTCTAGATTTCGATTTTTTTCCAGTGTAGTATGTTTGAATGCTTAGGTTAATCATTCAGTGTTAGAATCACAGAGGAACCAGGATTGGACATGCAGTTTTATGATTTTTAAGCATTTGTATAAATTTCAGAGTGAATGGTAACCGACTGTAGGAGGCTATGATGAAAAATTTAGAACAACTTAATGTAATTGATGTTAACCAGCCCACTCCTTCATCTAGCAGTTTTAAGTTGTCTTTAAACATTAAAAAAGTATGTTTAGCCGTCTGTATTTGTCCTGTTTTGTCTTGCAGCTGAAATACAGAGAGGTTTATGAGAAGAGCAAAGCCCAGATCAACATGGACCCAGAGGCTCATGAGATCCGTGCTGCCAAAGAGGCGTACAAGAACATCAGCAATGTAAGAAAGGAAATACAATCACCTTTAAAAAACATAACTGAAAACAAACAAAGACACAGGATAAACCTTTTCTTATATGTCTGTTAGCTTGACTACAAGAAGAAGTACGAGGCAACAAAGAACAAGTGGATCTGGACAGCAGACAGACCAGATTTTCTCAATGCTGCCAAAAACTCTCTGCAGCAGAGTGATGTGAGTTCATTTTTCCTTTCTATTGTTTCTTTCTACTTTCTATATATTGTTTATAGACGTTAGCGTTTATGTACATTTAATTTCACCCACAGGTTGAGTACAAATATGACAAAGAGATGATGAAGGGCTGTGTGATCCCTGTCGCCAGTGATAAGTACACAATCCTGCACAAGCAGAACGCTGAAATGTCTAGTGATGTAAGTATTTCTCATCTGTTCATAGAAACCATTCAAGAGTGAGCCTGGAAAGATGAGGGTTGCATCAAAATAATGAGCTTTTTTATGTTATTTTCCTCCCCTCAGGTGAAGTACAAAGAGAAATATGAAAAGACAAAGGGTCACTACATACCTGTTCTGGATACGCCTCAGATTCTTCATGCCAAAGCTGTGCGAGCTCTAGTATCAGAGGTTAGGACTAATTCATGCTAATAGCTCTTGCCTGGTTTGGAGTACAGTGTTTCAGCAACATACTGTGAGTTGTAACGCTCCTATTCTTATTCTCAGAGCAAATATAAGCAGGAAAGTAAGAAGATCATGCAATCTGGCTCATTCACCAAACTGGCCGAGACTCGTGATACCGCCCACAGCAAGGAGGTCAAGAAGCTGATCAGCGAGGTACGCCTTTCGTTTTTTATTTTATTTGACCTAAATAAATAACCTCCTCTAATCCTCCTTTTGTTTATGACCTGCTGGCGACACTGTTCTTCGTAACTTGCAGAAACAATACAAGCAGAAGTTCGAGAAGGAAAAGGGCAAGTCTGTGTACAACCAAATGCTTGTGCCACCTGATGTTCAGCATGCCATGGACGTGGCGAAGAATCAGAGCAATGTGACTTATTCCTACATACATTTCACTGATTTGTTTTCAATATTTGTTTTTTGAGCTGCTTCTAAATGTTCACTATATGCTTACTCTGTCTTCCCCTACATATTTTAGATTGCGTACAAAAAGGATGCCAAAGCCAACCTGCACTACACCACTGTGGCTGACCGTCCTGACATCCAGAAGGCCACCCAGGCTGCGAAGCTAATCAGTGACGTGAGTGTCAAAGGCATAAATAAAACCTGCATTTTTAGACTAAAGCCCTGATCCAAAAAAAATATATATCTGTAGAAACATGTGTAAACTTTTTAATATGTGCAAGTTTAGACTTTTGCAAACTTTATTGTCATTTTGTATGAACTGAAATGAACATAACCATTAAAAGTGCAGCAGATTATCATGTAAACAGTATAGGAGAAAAGGAAAACCAGTAAAAAAATTATAATCATAAAAATAATGGTGCCAAAGGGCATTAATATGGAAAGATAACAGTGCAGTGCCAAATATAATGGTGCAAAATGCAGTAGAACATTGGGTTGTGTCTTATTTAAAAGAATTTATAAAAGTGCAGCATGTTGGTGGTGCAGAATAATGTTGCAAGTAAGATGCAGAGTCTCGATTAGAGTTTAACAGTTCAACATTCTGATGGCAGCGGGAAAAAAGCTGTTGCAGAACCTGCTGGTCCTGCATCGAATGCTACAAAGTCTCTTCCCAGAGGGCAGCAGGGAGAACAGTCCATGATCACGGATGATGTTACGGTCTCAGGACACATAGCTCTGGGATGAAATATCTTTAATGGAGGGAAGAGGAGCCATGATGATCCTCTGTTCAGTTTTCCCAATTCTTCTCACCTTCTTCCAGTCTGAGGCGCTGCAGCCTCCACACCACACAGTGAGACAGCTGGTCAGAACGCTCTCTATGGTGCTTCTGTAGAAGGTGGTGAGACTCTGAACTAAACATCAGGCTGCAGAAAGAATTGTGTGCAACATCATCAATAGGCATACATCATGCCCATTGGCTGGGGAGATGTAATGTAGGCAGAGTTAAGCATGCCTCGAAAAAACAGAGGAGAGAAGATGGCGCTCTGATTAAATGACAGAGATTACTGAAGCTAAATATTTATGTGATTTGCTCATTGCAGAAACTTGACTTTACTTTAAAAAAGTCCCTCACATCATCTTAACACTGACAGCTGCTGCCCTTAAGCAACACATGTTCTTTGCTTTCTCTGTGCTATAATGATTTTACCAACATGTTTTACATTTTTTCATGCAAATATCCTGGGATACAGTCCTGCTAGGGTTTTTTGTTCCTGGAAGTGTAACCCCTGTTTAATTATATTGCAAATAACATTTTTTTTTCTGTTAAGTTGCTTGAAAAGCATTACTGTTCAGCTTTATACCTATTTTATAGCCAATTGAATACTGCCAATGTTTTAAAAAAGATAATTGCTAAAACATCGTATTGTTCTTCTATTAAAAACAAGAATCATAATCATATCCGCAGGATGATATTGCAGCTTACTTGTCAAACCACACAAGTAGTCCTTTGAATTAATCATTTAATTCATTAATTAATAACAAACACATTATATTCTATAATTTAACCTCTATTTGTATTTGAAGTTCCAAAAACAAGAAAGTTATTCAAATTCTTGGACATTTTAGATCATAAAAAGTTACTTTGAACAGTAACCAAGTTACTAGCTGAGTTATTTGTTTTGAAGAAGCATCCAGTTACTATAACTAGTTACTTTTTAAAAGTAAAGTTCCCAAGAATGACCATGATAGAAATATGACAAACATTAATTTTCGTCATCTCCATTCCTGACTGCTCATCAACAGTCGGTAAAACTTCACCACCTGCTTTTCCTTAATATAAGACTGTTCCCTTACATTATGCTTCTCTCTCTGTGAACAGATCGGCTACCGTGAAAAAGCTCGTGAGGAGGCCAGCCGTGGGGGTTCTCTCATCAACCGTCCAGACATTGCTTTGGCAACCCACGTGTCCCAGCTGACCAGTCAGGTAGCACACATGAAATTAATCTTTTTACCTCAGTACATGTGACGATACAAACACTCTTTCTCTGTGGTGGTTTAGAAAAATCACTTTTTTGCTCCCACTTTTTCATCGATCAGACCAGGAAGTGGCCTCCAAATAATTAAAACCCTCTTTCCTTGCTTCAGTCTCCCTTCCTCAAGTTAAACTTGCTGCGTAGATGTGATGCTTGGCAGCCTCCTCCTGGCTTTAAACTGAGCTAGCAGCTCTTAGATAATGCTTCCCCTGTCATCCTGTATTAAAATCCATGTTTTAATCTCTCACTGTGATCTCATAATATATATATATTCATGTCTAACTGCTCATATCATTGTATAAGTCTGTCCCCATCCTTAAACCTGACCATGTGTCTCTCTTTCTTTCTCTGTTCCTCTTTTCTTTGCTGCTGTACCTAATCTCTTTCCTCTCATCCCTGTTACCATAATGTGTTTGTGTTCTCATTCCACAATCTTGCTGGGCTTTGTAGGTGGAGGGCAAGGCCTCCCTCCATGGAGCAGCTTCCTATGATACCCCTATGATGCGGCACATTAAGAAAATGAGTTCGGTGACTAGTGATGTAAGGAGGCGCATGTCCTAAAACTGAAGGCGTGCTGCTACATGTTTGTCTCCTTTGTCTACAACTTCACTCCCTTTCAACCCTTAGTTTTATTTTAAAGTCCATTTTAGTTACTAATTAGGGTAATCAAATATTTTAAGCTAATAGGATTAAAATATGTTTTTTATCCAGTCTTTAAAAATCTTTAATCTCTAGTTTGTCTTGCTTTTTGTTTGCAGTGCATCTCTTGTTTTTCTTTCTTTTCTGTGCTGAACAAGTTTTGGCTCATTGTTAAGCATAGAAAATGCACCCTAGAATTAGCTGCATATGGATTTACACAATATTTGTTTGTATTATGATGGTTTTATGTTGTGTTTCTGATTATTCACTCTGAAACATATAATAAGATCAACAAACTTTCACAAGTGGGTTTTTCTTTAAGGTTTGCAATTTCACAGAAAACTTTTCTGTGCCCATAATTTCTAAACTAGAGGTTGATAAAGCCTATTAAAGTTCAACAGATTTACAATGATAGAGATGCTACTAATACATGTCTAATACAGTTATTGTATTTACATCTATTTGCACATTCTTTGTGCATAACTAGTTTGAGGATTAGTAAAAATGGTGGCGTTCCCTAATTTAATCTTCATTTTTATAATTCTGATTATTATTAAATAAAGTTTATGTTGTAAAATTAATCAGTTGGTTAGATAAAAGGTAAAGGCAATGAAAAAGACGTGGAAAATATATACCAGTAGTTTTTTTTTTGTAAAAAAAAAAAAAAAAAAAAGAATCAACAACAGATTTTTTTTATTTTTTTTTTACAAGTATAGATGTTATTTCTCAGCATATTTGTTGCATACATTGTCTATGAAAATAGTTTGCATGCATAGATAGGAACATATACAGTATAGAGCTGGGAACATTTATTAACAATACCTAAAAAATTATCAAAAGTAAAATTCATCTTTTGTTGCAGGAGCATAATCCAACACTGAAAAGTTTTTTTTTTTTTTATTTGAGTACAATTTGTGTACATTTAATCTGTGAGAAGAAAAATCATGTTGAAATCTATTTGTTTTTAAAATCACAGAGGGTAGAATTATTGACACTTGTACTGTTAATACCAAAACTGCAGCACTTGGCCTCTTTCAAAACACCGGAGCAAAAACTGGGATTTCAAGTTTATTTTTTTATCATTCGGTTTTGCAAAATCTCGTCAGATTTTCCAAAATTGTAGTAAATAGGTCATCAAAATTTTCATGTATGGTAAACAGTTCAAGCAGTCATCAAAGAAACAATCCCAAACATTTCAGATACTTCGCCTACAAAACAGCAGGCAGCAGAGGCTTTTCCACAAAAGCATTCTGTGTAAATTCCGTAAATCTAACGGATTAAGATTATGAACGTAAGTCACTAACCTGGTTTACAAGTTCAGTCCGTGCCCAGAGAACGAGGTAGGATCCAGTCGGTGAGCTACCAATAAGACGCGGCATGCACTGCCCAGAGTGTCCCAGATGCTGCAGGAGTCCCAAGCCATGCCAGGCAAACAGATCAGAACACAAACACGGGAACAGGCAGGCTCAGAGATCCAGGAGTCCAAGGACAGTTCAGGCAAACCGTTCAGCCAGGAACAAGCAGGCTAAGCGGTTGAGAGGCAGAAAAGGTCAGGATCAGGTAATCAGAAATACTCAAGTTAGCTAAAAACACTCTCACCACTGAGATCAGACAGGAACAGGCAGGCTCAGTGGTTGAGAGGCAGAACAGGTCGGGATCAAGAAATCAGAAACACCAAGGTACTCTTAAAACACTCATCACTGGATATAGAGAACAAGAATAATCTGGTGCTGATGGCTGGGACCCAGCAGCTTTAATACAGGGAAGGTAATAAGAAACCGGGCAGAATTGGACAGGTGAATGAAATTACCATTTAAGCCAGTCGTCAGTGCCAAAATCATGACATTCTGTCGTGTTTGTTTTGGAAAAACTGAAATTACTCTGGACAGATCAAAGCACATTGTCCTATTTAAAATTCAAGAGGGATCCAGACTAAACTACATCTTTATATTTGTGAATGCAGAAAAAAAAAATTCTTCAGGAATTACTCTGAAATAAGCACTCTAAAAAGTAAATTAAGCTTCAGCTTAAATTAATCTCTTCGATTGGTAATAATAAGTTGAATCTATAAGCTTAATGAATTAAGTTGGATCAAGGTGATTCAGTTTTTACCAATCAAAGAAATTAATTTAATTTGGATCAGCATTGTCTTTCTAGAGTGGGTTATAAATTGCTTCCTAAGATTTTCAAAAAGTAAGAATATGATTTAGGGTATTTATCAGAGGGTACCAACAATTCCACAACCAGTAATATTATTAAGAATGATTATATGGGCAGCTGTCCTGGACTGCAGAATCTGGGCCATTTTTTAGGGGCCACCCTTTGACATTGTCAGAGTTAAGTCTGCTGGGTTTTATCAGGGCAGCCTGCAGCTGAGGAAACAGCAGATTTTATATATTTTTTTGCAGATGGAATGCTTCCTCTTGCTCCCTCTGGTCATGATCCATTGCATGTGTTGGGACGGTTAAAAGCGACAGGAGATGAAGACAAACTACAAGCTGAGGGCATGGTTCTTAATGTGAAGTACTGTATCCTGAGGACTTGAGGACTGTTGATTTACCAGTCCGTCTACATTCCTATATCACCCTATGCGCTCCAAAAACTGGCCTAAATATAAGTAAAATATGTCTATTTGCCTTTAATTTGAGCAGATAAATAAGAAAATCCACAATTTAAGTGTTTTTGGCCTTAAAACAAGATAATCTGATACTGAAGTTTTCTTTACTTTTTTATTTTACGCATAAACAATCTTATTCCGTATGTAAACTGTCCTACTTACCTTCTCAAAACAAGAAAAATATACTTATTTCAAGAAAAACTTGACATACTTAGCTTTCATATATTTATTTTTGCAATAGTCAGCAAATATTGGTCATGATCGAAAAAAAAACCCTAAAACAAAATAAACCGAGATCTCATTTGCAAGCGCCTGAAATTACCTTACTCCAATAGTCCCAGAGTAGAGCCACTGCTCCTCCACATCTACAGGAGATGGCATCTTTTCTAGATGCCTCCTGTATGCCTGTCACCAGACACTTTCCACTGGGGGGGAGCCCAGGGGACGACCCAGGAAACCGTGGAGTGTCTTAATTTGTCTAAAAAGATTTTGAGTTTCTCCAGATAAGCTGAAGGAGGATTTCTGAGGATGGTTCTGATAAGGGAAAAGCAGCGATTTAAAAAGGGTTTTCCTCCTCACAGTTAATTGTACACAAATTAAAGGTTGGATTGTTAAAGGTTGATGTTATGCTACTGCAATTAAAAAGATGAATTCATGTTTTTCTTCACACATTTTTACATAGACGCCATAAATGTGATGCTATACCCAGTTACCAGCTGTTATACAGCATGTCAAAGGCCAACAAACTATAAATACTGAGTTACTAATACTTTTATATACACTTGTATACCCTGTCTTTTTGTCATTTATGGCATACTGATTAGCTTATTTGTCCTAACTCAGTACTCATTCTGACTTAACCAGGTGAAGTACAAGGAGAAATTTGATAAGGAGATGAAAGGAAAGAAACCTCAGTTTGACCCGAAGGAGAGCAAGATTTACAAAACCATGAAGGATGCCAACGATCTGGCTAGTGAGGTAGGTAATCACAGAGAAAACATTGCGCCAAAGATTTCCTCTCTAACCAGGCATGTAGGAATTACAGGTACCTTTGAGTGGCTGCTTGTATTAGAAGGTTTGTTACTATAATGGCAGCGAATACCTCCAAGTTAGGTTGGGTCTACAGTAATAATGTTTTTTTTTTGGTGTAATTTTTTTTTTCATAGGCATAAAGTAATGTTTTGCAGGATGATGACATGGTTTGATTACCGTTGGAAACCTTCATAAACTAATTAACTTTCCATTACCTGATGGAGATCATGTGCTGACTTCTTTAAAACAATCACAGGTGAAGTACAAGGGTGACCTGAAGAAGATCCACAAACCTGTCACCGACATGGCCGAGTCTCTGTCCATGCAGCACAATCTGAGCACCAGCAAACTCTCAAGTGACGTAAGATATCATCATCATCATCCTCTGCATTTTTTAAAACCCTTTCCTCACCCCCCACCCCCATTCCCATCTATTGAACTGAACCTGATCCAGGGTAACATCAACTTCCCTACATGCTTGTAGTAAACATTTCACCTTAGATTTAAACTCTAGGCTCCATCATCTAAACAATCATAATCTGTAGACCTCATCTGGTAGTGATCCTGACCCTCCTCACCTTTAACATCTAATGCTTTACTTTTAGTACCGTTGATCAAAATTAAAGTTTTATTAAAGATCACCTAACGACAACTTCAACTTGTTTGAATCATTTATCCTCTGAATGATAACTACATCTTTTCATTTACTTATACTGTTAGTGTTTCCTTCTGCCTTAGTGTTTGAAGTGCTCTGCAATGGTGTTGATTTTCCTTTGCACTTTTTCACATTTTGTCACTGCTCCAGGAGGGTTTTATGTGACAGGCAATCTAAACGATCTAAAGAGTGATTCAGAAAAGGAAACGAGTGGTGTTTTTGAAAAGGTTTTAATAATAAAATTCCGATGACTTTGTCATGCTTATGTATTCTGCTTCCTTTAATTTGAAAATAAATAAATAAATAAATAAAATCCTGCACAATGAGGGGTTAGTAAGGGCAGACAAGCTGCTAAAAAGCCTTTGGTAACACTGGAGTAGCTACACAGATTCACAGGAAGGAGAAGCTGTCAACGTTGCAACAGGTCAAAGCCATAAGTAGTCCCTTTTTAAAGTTAGCCTTAATGTGAACATCTTGAAGAGATGCTGACTGTACATTTAGCATTTTAAACACATGCAGAAAGCTCTGTGTGCAGAACTATCTCTGCAGATCACCCTGAACACAAAGTTGCTGTGATAGTGGCTGCATCATGCTATGGGGATACTGTTCTGCAGTCACAAAAGACTTGAGGCTAAATATTAGGGATTCATCCTCCAACAGGGTATTGTCCTGGGGGATGAAAAAAATGTCCTTGTTTCTCAAGTCTATGTGCAAATAATGATGTAAATGTGCTCAATAACAGCTTCAGGGCACAGCAGTGGTGCAAGGTTAAGTGTGGGACCAATTTACCAGGGCTTAGGATTGAATGGGCGTCACAGCTTTAAGTCCTGACCTGGTGACCTTTGTATTCCTTGTTTCTTTACTGTCATAGCCCCTCTGGCTAGTATTAAAAATCACAAAAAAAAAATAATAATAAAAAAACCTGATGGTGGCCATCACACTCGTTAAAACTCAGTGACTTGGCCTTGTTTAAGTGTAATTTTAACGACTTTAAACATAAGCACGGTTAAAGCTAAAATGTGTTGGACAGAGCCCTGGGGAGGGGAGCACAGATGTCATTCATCTGGGTCGGCCTAAATGTTAGCGTAGCGAAGACAAATTTGAACTCTGCCTAAAGGTGCACCCAGAGCTGCACTAAATGGTTCAGATCCAACCATCCTTACATATCAAAGTGGTCCAAGCTAAAGTTCAGATCTTCTTGCCTAAATCTAAGGTACAATTTGGAAATATATGTTCCCTTATCCTAATCATGCATCTTTTTTCTTTCATATCCCAATTCTGAACAAATTTGTTTTAGTATATCACATATTATCCCAGTTCAATAGCCTAAAGTTTTTGCTTTTAACGTGACAAAATGTGATCAAGTTTAAGGGACGTGAATACTGCAGCAAGGTGCAGTACGAGCAACTTCATGCTTAATGCAGAAGGCTCTAGTCAGACATTTCTCCTTTGCTGTATTAAGCTTCTTACTTTACTGAGAATTCCCTGTAGTACCGCTACAAGAGGAAATTTGAGGAGAGTAAGGGTCACTACCACATGATTCCTGACACACCAGAGCAGCTTCATCTCAAGGAGGCCTCTGAACTTCAGAGCAACGTAAGTGCTGCAAACTGTCAGGAACAACAAACACTTTGCAAACTTTGAAATGTTGTTTAACTTGTTTCAATCATCAGCCGACACTGAGGGATGTCTTGATAAGCATTTATTGTCTAATACTAAGGATCCTGGTCACTTTGGAGTAGAAATATTAAATAACTATCTGGTTCTAAACATGCAGCTACAGACCCAAACAATCTCACATTGAGCTCCTGCTGACAGTGTTTATACGCTGAATTTAGCAATGTTTCTGCACAATTACATTTATGACTCAATTATTAAGCTTCAAAGGGATTGATTTAGATTTATTATTAATAGTGCACAGAGAAATCCTAGAGGAAAGTAACACTTTCCTGTTTTACAGAAACAGTGCTTTCTTTGATCCTTGTAGAATGTAATTACTATTGTCTCAGCTGCTCTCTGCACATCTCTCAGCTATGGACTGAAAGACTTGTGTTGAAAGAAAAAAAGTCTCGATTTGGACACTAGTATAAACCCTAGATTGGATTGGGACATCTCTATCTCCTACACTGATTTGAAAATGAGAGATGTGTATGCAGGGTTAAATATGTTAATAACAAGCTTTGCATATTTGTCTTTCTATGGAAACAATGTTCCTGCTTTTAAATGGCCACATTTCACTAAATCCTATTCAACTTTGTGTACGTTTGGCCCTTACAGGTTAAATACAGGGAGAAATATGAGAAGGAGAAGGGCAAACCCATGCTGGACTTTGAGACCCCGACTTATGTGACGGCTAAGGAGGCCCAGCACATGCAGAGCCAGGTATCAACTCCTCTCACCTTTGTGCTAAAAGTAGCTGCAGATGCCAGCTTGGCTTCAAAACACATTAGATTAGAAATGTAGCGCTCCTGTTCGTCACTTGAGCTTTACGGATGGTTGTAGTTATGAATCTGAAAGAAATTTTAAAGAATGTAGATAACCCTCACATGGTTTACCTTTCTAAATGTTGTTTAATGAGCTTCTAGACACCTGGAAAAATTGTACCATCAATCAAACAACTATTCATAATTAATCAAGCTTCCAACTTAACTATGTATGGAAGGGTTTGGGTACATTATGTTCCATTATTGTTGCAAGCAAGGAACACAATTTGTAAACGGAAACTTGAAAAAAATGTAATACAGAAACTTTGAAAAACATTCTAATCAATCCAGACAGAAACTAAATAAATCCTTGATTTTACGTTACCACTGAACCCGCTATACTATATATTAGGTTTGACCCCAAAAGAAAATATTTGGAAAAGAAAAGCCCAGTTACTACACATTCTGCTATTAGTAGCAAGGATAATTATAACTCTGTCTTGGCTTAAAGCCTTTGCCCCCCACGCTTTGGGGGAACAATGGCAAGAAAGGTTGAAGGATGTGTATATAATGGAGAAGATAACAGTAAAACTGCATGGGAAATACATATTCTAGGAGTGTGGGCCCTGCCTATCACCTAATTTGGATGTCCACATGGATAAAGAACGACATATGCTAAAAAAAACAAAACTAAAGAATAAAAAAAACGGTGTTAGCCCACATTTTATGTATCTCTCCCCAATGGCGTAATGACACAATAATAAAGCAACATTATCTGGGTGGGCCCCATATGAAGTATAACACCCCCGATACTCGTATTGCTGCAACACTAGTAGAAAGATACACCTCCCTTCTATGTAAGCCCACGAAGACCCTTTTAAGAGCTGTCAATTGCCGAAACAGATCTGAAAGCTTGCTGAGCCCCACCACTTCTTATTTTTATTTTGCTATTTATTTTAGCTTTTAGTTTATATTTATATATTTTTTCCTTCTTGGGTTTGATATTGTTTGTAGTTGCATCAAGATGCAAATGAATATATGTAGAAATTTTGAATTTATCATATTCTGAAATAAAGAATGTAAAAAAAAGAAACCATCTTAATCCTATTGGATTGAAAGAGTAACTTTTGCTTTTTCATATGATATATATATTTTTTAGATTTCATTTATATATAGATTTCTAGATTTCATATAATTTTTTAACATAATTTTTCTATTTAGTTTAACAGAAGTACAATTTTTTTACAGGTTCTTTATCGTTTTTTATTATTTCTCTTTCTCAGATCGATTGGCAAAAATTTCATGTTTTTGAAATTGCATTTCAGAGACCATTTGTGTTTCACTTCTGGGGGCGGGCTTTCCTCTGGATGAGGAGGGAAGGGACATTTCTATTGGTCGCATGGTTGTTACTGGTAGCAGCAACATTGCATTGGTCAGTGTGCGCATCAGGAGTGTTTTTATTGGACTTAAAATGAAGAGAATTTGATCTGTGAAACATTAATTTGATGAAGAACGTA